TCAGTATTATCGTTGCATCACACGCATCCTAAGTAGCTCCTTCCTTATAGTTTTTTTAACTTCAGTACCTGTTAAGAGTCTATTATGCTGTACTGTTCGGGTCGCTCACAGGGGTCGGGTAAAGCGGTGTGTGTGGTCGAAGGAAATATATGTATTATATTTCAGAATTCTGCTTAAGGCTTAACCTGATCCTGTCGTGTTAAGCCACACCCAAAAATTCCAAACACACGAGCTTGGATTAAGACTTGATTAAGGTTTGCAGAGCTTCAGCATTTGCCATAAAATTGCGAGCAATTTGTTACAAAACCATATAACTTATATCACTGTAATTACAAAAATTTAATCTATTTCCGTATTGTAATGAAATTTTAAATTATGTCTTTATTTTCGAGAAAATTTAGTTCAAACAAATGGAATATTTCGTTGATGTTTGACCATCAAAATCTTAAAATAAACAAGTTGTCTAAAAATGTGCTACAATACATATATTATGGATATAGTATAATCTTTATCTTTAATTTCCTTCGTAATTTGTGTAAAAATACCAGTTAGTTTTGCTTAAAACGTTAAATGCCAAACGCTTATTTTGCTACTTTTCGATAGTGAAATAGACTCTAAGGTATTACGAAGTCAAGTTAATATAATCGGAAAAAAGCAATCGTTTATTTTTGAATTATGCTAAAATCAAGACCTGATTGATCATAAAACATTTCGATCGTAAGGTAAACTTAACTACATTTCAGATCCAGAAGAAGTCCATTGGTAACCCATAAGTTTAAATTTTATTTAGTAGACATGAATTGCCAAGTTCTTTAGTTTTTCCGTACAATTATTACGGTTTCCTAAAGGCGCTTGTCTAAAAACAATTTCGAGAACTACTTACGTCTGAAAATATTTAGCTTTGTCGTTTCGGTCACAAGCGCGATAAAGTTATTTACGAGATGCCATTAAGTTAAGAGACATGCTAAGCTGTTTTTACGAGTTTTTTTAGCGTTTTCCAATTCACTGAAAATAGATTGGGAACTATTTTGTGCACTGCAATAAATAAGCACGATTCAATGAATGAAAAACAAAGTTTTGAACGTTTTTTGAGCATGTGTCAAAACCAGGAGGTATATAAATAGGTATAATAAAACAGCAACTATGCAACAATACCGTCAATAAAAATAATCCTAATAGGAATAATTATGAAATTGATTGCTATCACTGTGTAGAAAACAAGATTGGTAGTTTAAATTTTCCTACACAATGTATGATCGAAAAACCACGTCAAAAAACTGCTGGGGAATGATCAGTGGCGGATATAGGGGGGTCTCAACACCCCTCCCATTGGTTATTGAATTCACGGAGTTGGGGGATTGTCCCACTGGGAAGTTTTACTTGTTTTTCAAGTGCTTCAAAGTTACTGTAGCTTATACAGGGTGAGCTTCTCTCTACGATGTTCTATGGGTATCTGGGAAACTACTGGAGACAGAGAGTCGGTTAAATGGGGAAAGAATTGCAGTTTTGTTGGGTCATAACATGCGCCTACTCTTGAAAAGTTCACATTGTGATATTTTGAAACAAATTTGGTTATTTTAAAATCGTCCGTAGTTCCATTATAAAACTATTTAAGAAAAAAGTTATTAAATAAAAGTTGTATCCATCCCTAATGAATTTGTGTTCGATTTCTTTTAAAGCCTGTCATTTTGACATATGACACAAACATAGTTTTTTTTTTTTTTTTAAATGAAAACATAGTTGGCCATGACTTTCGTAAAATCACCATTTTGCTTTTCAGCAGTATAGGCTATATGATATTTTTTTTACAAAATTACTGAGTTATAGCCAATTTATTTTTCTTGGACTAATTTAACTTAGTTAGCCATGGAAACAAGTTCAATCGTCGTTGCTCTTAGAAATGTGAAACTGTCACATCCAAACTTTGTAAATTATCATAAACAAAAATTGTAAATATGAATTTTTGAAAAATGAAGAAAGCGTGTAGGATTATTGGTTAAACTGGTCACGCTACATTTTCGAGGATACGTTGTCCAGTGAACGTTACTTTACGTTTTTTTAACTTAAAAAAAAAAATGTTAGAAAAGTTAAATTTAGGTACTCGCGCATTAATAGAGTGCATTAATATGACTCTCTTATGACACCAATGACACCACCCCTCCCACGATCAAAAAATATTAAAAATCATAATTAGTGGTGACACTCAGGGAAAGAAAGAGGTGGACCAGTTACATGGGCCTCCTCGATCACCTGATCCATCCATTTTAGATTTTTTTATGGGCTATGAAGTTAACAACAAGGTTTACAACAGAACTTATGAATTAAGAGAGGCACTCAAAGAGACGGTGCTGCGACGTTTAATTAAGTCGACCTATATCGCTGAAAAGCTTAAAAATGGCGCTTTTTATGAAGTCGTGACCAACTATGGTTTCCATTTAAAAACATATGTTTGTGTCATATGTCAAAAAATGACAGGCTTTGAAAAAAATCGGAGAACAGAAACTCATTAAGGGATGAGATTGCCTACAACTTTTATCTGGAAAAAGTCTTTTCTAAAAATAGATTATAATGGAATTAGATTTAGAACCAAAATTTCTTTTTTTTCGAAATATCTAGTAAGCAATGAACTTTTTCAAAAATCTGAAAGGCGCATATTTATGACCCCACAAAACTGCAAAATTCTTTCCCCATTTAACTGACTCTTTACTTCCAGTAGAAGCCTAGAGATAACATAGAGAACATCCTTAACTTAGAAACTCACCTTATATGTGTAAGAAACTAAGAAAATATTTATTTCAAAATAAATCTGTAATGGTTTGAACTATTTTACATTTTTTTTTTTTTTTTTTTTTTTTTTTCTAATTTTTCCGAAATAATTTTTCCAAAGTCCTAAAAATCAAAAGGCGTTTAATATAATTTCAATTCCATTCTTGTTAGATAGGTTATTAATTTTGATCAACGTTATATTTTGCTATTGTTCACAATCATTTTCGCGAAATAAATTTCTACACGTCATTGGCCAAAAAATTAATATAAAACTTTTTAAAAATTAACACATATAGAAAGATTAAAGAAAGAACGTTCCAGCAGATTTCCACCTGTTTCCAAAAAAATATTTTTTTTCTCAAATTTTAAAGTAAAATTTAAAATCACTTTTATTCACCAAAATAAATTAAAAACCTTCAAGGCCATCTGTACAATGACGCCTAGGGCTTGAACAGCCGTCTATGACGCCGTTTTTTTATCGTATGTTATAAAAAGACCAAAACTTGTGTATAATTTATTTAATCCTTTAAATTATCCAACAACACATTATCGATTGGATACATTTTTGAAAAATTAATTAGTTTTCTTAGCATATTTTTTACAAACGTGTTAAATAAGCAGAAAATCAATCCCAATTTAAAAATATCTTTTTTCTCTGACTTAAAGTTTACGTTTCGTTTTCGTCAAGAATTAGAAAAATAATCCCTTTGATCATAATAAAATATTGATTAATTTTAAATGTATTTATTATTAAATGAATATACAAATTACTCACTGAAAGGTGTGTTTATTATTTAAATAAAGTTATTAAGAATATTTTTACCGCATTGATGGTTTCAGATGAATATGCGAGTCATTTTTTCGTTAAACCGAAAAAAAAATACATACTCTGGATATGCCGCGCGCCGATGAAGAAGGATTTTGACTTACTAGTTGTTCTCTTAAACAATTAAGTAAAAAAATAAATCTTTAAGGCTATCGAGTGGCTGTAATGTTCTACAAGCAGAGGTTTGCGCTGAAAAGGAAGCGGCTAGTTGTCTACAAGGGAAAATCGATAGACCAATAGGAGATATTATGAACCTCTGACAGCTTGGGCATTTAACAAGCATCACCATGCAATCCGTGAGATCGAAACCCAGATGGGACTGCCGAGGAGTACTGTGCTGGCTGCGTCAAGACGGGACTCTGTACTGGATGCCAGGCCACAGAAATGTCCTGGCCAACCAAGAAGCAGACAAACTTGCCAAAGAGGGAGCCAGGGGAGAGACCGTGGCAGATGACCCATCACTTGTGACACACTGATGGAAGCTATAGGAACTACCATCAAGGCTAAGCAGCAAGAGACGTGGCAACACCCTGAGGACTGCGCTACAGCTCGGAAAACTGTGGCTGCGATAGATAGCAAAGACAAAAACAACTACTTGAGCACAAAAAAGTATGCAATTAGGTGACATCACTGAAACTGCCCCCAGTTTGGCGTACTACTGCAGAGAATATGGAGAGTAAGAAGAAACCGTAGAGCATCTGCTGTGCCAATTGTCCAGCACTGGAATACCGACACTTTAAAATTTTAGGACAATGTTTTTTGGAGGGACTACAGGAAGCAGCAGAAGCCAACTTCAGCGACATCGGGAGCTGCAAAGAGCTGAAATGCTTTTTAACAAAGAAAGAATGAGGGAAGCGTTTGGTTCATCACTGAGGCCTTCGAGGGATCAAACATGATTCCAAACCGAACAGCCTAACTTATCCTAACCTAGTTTTCTTAAGCACGATTTGTGTAATCTACAGAGATTACCTCTCACTGTTAGTCTCACTGAAACTGAAAGCAGTCTGACTGATTCAGTGTTACTGAAAGACAGAAAACTGCGCTTGTGTTCACACGTTTCATTTTGCTATAAGTAAAATCACACTCATTTGGTTAGCCATCTTTGCTTGATTTCGTAAACATAAAACTTCTACAGAATTACAACCGAGAAGTACGTTTACAATTAGCACTGAGTAACAAAATGTTCTGATTTTTCAAAAACGACGAAAATGTCATATGTACTATAAAATGTCCTAATTATCCTATAAAATCTAGTGTTGACTGTTTATCGAAATGCTGTTTTTATTATATTATTATTTATTTTTCTTGTTTGATGACAAAGATTTAAATATTCTCATTTTAGGTTTTGTATACATTCAGTATTGTGTAGAAGAAATAATAATTCCCTATTGATCATTACAAATTTTCTGTATGTGACAATGATTAATCATTATCTAAAAGTAAGTGGAGATAAATTTAGAGGCTTACTGTTTACAAACTAAGAGGAATAAGTGTTTGTTTTTTATTATTTTCACATTAAATAAAGAGTTGAGAATGGAAACGGTTATCGAAAGCATAAATTAGTTTTCCAGCATTACGAATTTAGAAGTAGATATATACACAGAAAAATTAAATTAAAAGGCAAAATTTAAAAGGATAACCTTTTAATTGTTGTAACTTAATATATATACCAAGTTATAATTGTTACAGAAAAAAATATGGCCATTTCGCCATTCATATAAAGAACTAAAAATATATAGTTATTTTTTACATGAAATGCCACTTAATTTAACACACATAACAACAATCTTGTTATTCAACATAATATTCCATATTTCATATTAGAAACTTTTAATAATTTTTGGCCTCTATAGATTTGACCACAACAGTTGTGTCTGATATTTAAATTCAGAGCTAAATGTATTTTAATTCAGTTTTCAATGTCATCTACCAGAAATTTCTTTAATCTGACTTCTTGAACAGTTGTTTAACCCTGGACAATAAACTTCTATGGAAAAGGCATATTACGAACATCCAAACCAGCAAAAGCACAAAAGCTCTCGTGATATGCAGAAGATTGGAGGGAAATAGATTACACTGGAAAACATTTTGCGCTGAATATACAGGGTGTTTCAAAACAAATGCGAAAAACTTCAGGGGGCGATTCCTTGTTCAAAATAAAGGGTAGTTTGCTGTGAATTAAAGTCAACCATTAGGTAGATATCGTGGTACAAAGAGGGCGGAAAAATAATGTTTTTATTTTTTTATCTTGAAAACGAAAGAGATAGACAATAAAAATTTATGGAAAATTACACATTATCTGACTTACACTTTCTGTTACTTTTTTTGGAAATGAGTGGAAAGGGTTGAAATAAACTAACCCTATCATTCTTATTAACGAAATTTAAAGAAAAATCTTATTATTACTTACCAAACCAAGCTTGTGCAAAAAAGTAATTTGGATAGTTTAGTTTGTTTAGAAACTTTATCTCTTGTATTTTTTTTGATAAAACTCACCAATTTGAAATTAAAAAATAAAAATGTAAAAAGCGACTACATGTCAGGACCAAAAAACATTTTCACAGTAAAGAGAATCTGAGTGGGCTGCTGTAATTTTTTTTAAAGGAAAAATATTTTTTTTATGTTTTTCTATTTACTTTCTAGGATGTTCCTAATATTATTTTGTTGTTATCTACTGCAATCCGTTATTATCTAGATGATTATTATTAGCGTTATTATCACTAGATTCTTAAATCTAAAATGTTTTGTCGATGTAAATATTTGTTTGTTTTTTAATTTCAAATCGGTGGGTTTTATAAAAAAAGCCTGAGGATACTTTTAAACAAACTAAACTAAACTATCCAAATTGAAGCAGTTGCATGTGTTTGATAAGATTTTTCTTTAAATTTCGTTGGCTTAAGATGATGGGGTAGTTTATTTCAACGCCTTCCACTCATTTTAAAAAGTAAAAATTACCTGAAATTATTGTTTCATAAAATTAATGCTTCCATAAAATTTCATTAGTCTATCTCTTTTTGTTTTCAAAATAAAAAATAGAAACATTAATTTTCCGCCATCTTTGTACTGCGATATCTCCCTAATGGTTGACTTTTGACCCAACGTTTATAAAGCAAACTACCCTTTAATTTGAACAAGGAATCACCCCCTGAAGTTTTTCGCATTTGTTTTGAAACACCCTGTATACCATGATAGTACGACCCATGATTACTTATGGAGCAGTTGCTTGGTACACAAAACTAGAGCACCGTACAGCAAGGCTAAACCTGTGCAAAGTCCAGAGACTAGCATGCACCGGCACGGGAGCCATGAGAACCTACCCAATAGCAGCAATGGATGTCATTCTAGACATAACACATAATCGGTAGATATGCCAATGTGACAATGATTAGAATGGTCGCTAACGGAATCAGTACTGGGAAAATTGTCTCATCTCATCTCAGAACACCTTCAAAAAGGAAATACCACTCCTCCAACTCCCAGTGGATAACATACCATGATTGTACAACTTTGAGAAACACCTCAATGTAGTATTGAGCAATATAAAGAATTGGAAGAGAGAAACATTTGCTCAGCAGTTAAAAGCCCACACCATAACTATAGTAATGCTTCCAAAATCAATGCAGGAATATAGGGACCGGAGTATTTGAGTCGAGAACTAAATACTCCGAACTAATGGACATCTACCTTAGCATTCTACAGGCAGAAATATACGCTATCGAAAGATGCGTACAAGTTATCTTAGATAGGAACTATCGCACACAAGAAATAGTAATTTTATCTGATAGTCAAGCAGCTTTAAAAGTTGGGCAAAGAATGCTTATAGAGATGCTGAACAAATTAGGCAAAGAAAACAAGGTCTTCCTACTCTGGGTGCCATGTAATAATTTACATGGCAGAAATGCTGATTTTGGTCTTGTTGCCAGACCCTTGCAAGTCTTATCAAGTCTTAAATTGATGTAATCTGTCTATTTAAAGATTTTTTTAGAGTCTGGCAGCAAGACCAAGATCAGAATTACATATTAGATGCAAGTTCAATACCAAGGGAGTCTGGGTCTTGATCTTGCATTTGCTCATCAGTACTATTGATAATATTAAGACTACTTATTAGACTGCAAGACCAGCGCCAAGAAAGTCTTGCTCCTGGTCTTGCAGTTGCTCATCACTGGTATTAATAATTTATGTAATGTTACTTTTTATTTACTTTCTCTTATATTTTGTTTCAGCTTGTACTACAAACTCACAATCTACCAGTAAACCATGTAACCACATATTCCATCTTGGTTTCTATCAACAACCCTTCAACCACCTTACTTACCTCAATTACGACACTCCAAAATCACCACCAAGTGCTATTTTTAGCCGGCTATGGCGGAAACCGACGAGGACCAGAAAGGCGCCGCGACGCCTCTGATCGGCGAGACGCGGCGCGTCCTCATCAGTGCCTCGATGGACTTTAAGTCTCGCGTGCGCGACTGGCTCCAACGGCTCCGGTTGAAGACTTTCTGCCAGCACGTGGGTCTGTTGGTTGCTCTGGCCGGGTACACTATATTGGGAGGGTTGGTAAGTCCGAACTAGTTTTATTTTTTCCTGAAGGAAATCTCTAGATGATATTAAAATAATTTTATAGTTGTCGTCATTATATAGAGTCTTAAATATGTGCAAATATTTACAGGGCTGTTTATTTTATTTTGAATTTTTTTTAAGAAAATTATAGTTTATTGATAGTTTGAGAAACGACTGGATTTTTTCTGGATTTCTTTTTTTGTAAATAGTATCTACTATAATCTACTACCTATGTTGCCATAATATCAAGATGTTATGACCTCAGTAAATAATTACAGAGCAATTGCGTTATTAAATATCATTTCAAAAGTAATGGAAAAGGCAGCATCATTACAAATTAATAATTTTTTGGAAAAAAATAATATTCTTGCAAAAGAACAATATGGTTTTAGACAGAGTTGCTCAACATAAACAGCTACTTCTCACCTTGTACAACATATACATGATAGACTGGAAAATAAAGATTTGGTCGTGGATTTGATTTTTAATCTTTCTCGAGCTTTTGATAGTTTGGACTTTATAGTCGTCTAGTTTATTATGGAGAAAGTGCAAGCGGTAGGTTTAAGAAGAAACTTCGCTGGTTGGATAAGATCGTATTTAAACAATAGAGAAAATAAATAAAAATAAATAAAGTAAAATCTTCCAGTTTTCTTATGGAGTCCGGTGTGCCCCAAGGCAGTGTCCTGGGATCGTTGCTCTTTTTAATTTTAATTAACGACCCCTGACTACATAACAACTGGTCGGGTATTTTTGTATGCTGATGATACTTCGGTAATATTGTCAGCAAAGACCGAAAACGAACTATATGATAAGTCAAAAATGGTTATACAACAATTTAGCGCATGGTGCAATAGAAATAAGTTAGTGATAAATCATTCTAAAACTCTATGTGTTAATTTCTATTTTAGTCAAAATCCGATACAAGATAATTTAGTTACAAGTCTAGATAAAAATGTTGTTATTAAACCGGAAAAAACTGTAAAATTTTTGGGAACCACACTTGATAAAACTTTGAGCTGGTCAGATCAAATAGAAATAGTCTGCAAGAAATTAAATAAGAGTTATTACGCACTCCTCAATTTGAGAGACTCAGTTAATGAAGAGAGCTTTTGAGTGTATACGTGTTGTCTTATTAAAAAAAATCAAAACTAAAAAAAACATAGAATCAATCAAGAAAAATTGGAACCAAAGCAATTAAATTTAATTCGTGCAACTTCCCGTGTCACGATTTTTAATAATCATTATCTTTCATTTCACGAATAATTAAATTTCGGGATTTTTAATTTTTTTCAATAAATAAAAAAGTGCTATCAGTATCAGTAATGTCGTTGTACTTACTGTACAAAAAAGAAGGTCCAAGGAATGTTTTGGGGTTTCGAGATAATAGCTTCTTTATGCTCTTAGTTTAATTAAACTTCTCTAATTATACTGAGGGTCTGAAGCAGTTATCTTTAAGCGGCCATTTAAAATGTAATTTTCTTTGTATTGTATTTCCTTCCGAATATTTCACAAATTTATCTTCTTTCCTTTGGAGTTAGTCATTTTAAGGTCAAAGAAAATAAGTATTTTTACAGATTCTGATTTCTTTTAAATTCATCCTATATAAATGAACATTGGACGTGTAATTACAAAGAATTGTAAATATTTTATTGCCAGAAAGATTGCCAATAAAAAGGATATTGACCGTCACAAAGATTCACAAATAATTGCTTTATAGTTGTTAATATCAATCGATAAAAGTTACAAAATGTATTTTTATCTTTGCGCTAAATGTTTGATGGAAAGTTTTAAATTTAGTGATATTCTTGTAGAGTTGAATGTGAATTTGAATGACAGGTAATAACATATTATACAATGTAATTATTCAATAACAATTTAAATAGTCAAGTATCTATTCAAATTATATCGCCAAAAATAAAAAGCAGAGAGATACTAATAATTAAATTAAGTATAAATAAATTAATCGCTGAAATATCTGTAGATATAAGCAATAGTTAAATATGTAACATATATGCATATAAAATGCAGAATTTACTTCGTGCTTTTTATGTATTATTAACAAATGTCAGTCTGTTTATTGATAGAAAACGTTACTCTGTGATTATAAGATAGACATACGTATTAAAATATTGTTAAGTGTATTAGTTTTTTTGTGTTTTAATTTGTTTCTTTTTTCTTCTTAAGGGTGCGTTTATGTTAAAAACGATAAACGATAAGAGCAGCGATAGTAGCGAAGCAAAGGATATTATCACGGCATATAAATCACACGGCAGGCCAACTCGCTTTGGCGGGAACTCTACGCGCATACCCTTGCGCACGCCGCCATTATGGGTGCCAGCGACAGAAATTAACCAGTGTCGTAGTCAGTCGTAGTCTTTGTCATCGACAACGTACAGTTACGGCAGCTTTGAGTCAGTAGCGTGCGGCTTAATTTGTTTTATTCTTTTCTTGAGTGATATATTTTGTTTTTTTTAGTTTTATTTTTGTTTATTGTGTGATATATTTGGTTTTTGTAGTTTAGTAGTACAATGGAAGTCCGAAATTCTTTTAGTTTTAATACTCAGGCATTGTCTACGGCATTCAAAGTAATTTTTATTATTAGGTATCCTGCACAATGACAAACAAGATTAATTTCTAAATTACTGTTTTTCTGATTATCCGTATCTATTTTTAATTTTTATGGATAGCTCATGACAATTCAGAGAGAAAAGAAAAGAGGTCTCGTTTTTTTTATTAATTATTAAGGTCTGCCGTTTTTAATAAGATGTTTGGCAGTTTTCAGTACCCGTATGTAATATTCGGACACAAAGTTTTTAAATGTTCTTCTAAACTGGATGAATTTATCCTGGATAAGAATAATGACAGGTTTACAAGATATTGGAATTAGAAGAATTACAAGATAAAGTTGTACCAGCTTTTTATGAGTGCAACTGTATACTCAAATCGCTTGTCGCTAAGCTTTTATATAATATAAAATTGTGTAATGACATAATAAAAGTTTTAAAGAAAAAGCTTATTTTTTCTTTTTAATGTATTTAAATAAAAGCTTGTTTTTAAAAAGTTTTTTTTCTTAGACTTATTTTTTACTTTTTAAGTTATGCTGGTTTCTCAGTGCCACACACTTAAACTCAATTCTTTTTCTTAAATAACTACCTATGGGCATCCTAATAATATGTGTATCGATTTTCATCAAAAAGGAGAACTTAAAAAGATGACAGCTGTCAAATTTGACAATTCAATTGTGAGACAAATAAAATGAAAACCGACTATGGGGTAGGGAGCATCCAATATATCGATTTTTATCAAAATCGGACAACATTGAAATTTTTTTGACAGCTGTTAAATTTGACAGCTCATTTTTTTTCTTTCATTTTAGCCCATGGCCATCCTATATATCGATTTTTATCAAAATCGGACAACTTTGAAATTTTTTTGACAGCTGTCAAATTTGACGGCTCAAATTTTTTTTGACGGCTTGGCTTTTAAAAATATAGCCAAACATTTATATTTAAATTCATCAGTTACTTTTCTTCCTTTAGCTGATTTGGTAATTTGTGCAATTTGAATATTAACAAAATTTGCTATGTCCATTGATGGACATAATTTGTACGTAGCCTCTTTCGATTGTTCAATAGATAATTTATTGGGTATTTCTTTAATTCTTGTTTGTAACTCCTGGACTCCTGGCATGTTTTTTAATTTTAATTGTCTATTCTCTAAAGTTAAATGTTTAATTGAGAGTATGCGCGGTTAACGATTCATTTGTTTAGATAAAAGTATTGTGTAAATAAAATTCAGTTTCAGTCAATTACAGTATTTTTTTAATACGACCCTGTCTAGCAATAGTTTATTTTCTGGGAAATTTTTTGATACGTTTTAATCCGGCCCTGACTCGGCACCCATAATGGTGTTTTCGAGGTCAAATTTTATAGAAATTTTAAACAATGGGATCTGGGCAGAGTTAGCCTGCCGTGTGATTTATATGCCGTGATATTATTATCAATGACTAAAGAATCCAAGGACAAATAACACTCGAGAGCAAATTGTGACGATGACACCAAACAGTGCCGTGGCACATATTTTTCTTAACCTAGCTGTTTGAAGCAATATTTATATTTTTTGATAATTGTTTTGACTACGCCTATGGTGTATCATCCTAATTAATTACGAAAAAAACGTATTAAAATGTTAACAAAAGGTACAAAACTAGTATCGACGTATAGCACATATCAAGTACATATAGATGTTAATTGAAATTGAAGAATAATTATCGAATTCAATAAGAAAACGCTAAAAAGTTGGACTGTTTATTTACCTATGAAACGGAACTCCTGGCTCTTTCTTGAACAACTAATCACCATTGTAATAAAGTTTATACAAAGTTTACTACACACAAACTATTAAAAATCGCTAAAATTGTCGCTGGTGACCAAATGATGACTCATTGTTTGCCACCAAAACAAAAAAAAAGGTCACAAATTCTGCTGCAGCCCGTATCTATAGGGGCGTTACATGTCCTTATATTCTTTAGTCATTGATTATTATATTAATTTATATGTAGGTGTTTATATTGGAGCAACGCGTCTTGACACGGTTGGCAGTTGAGCAACGATAAGAGCAGCTAACTCACTGCTTTTATCGTTTATCGCAGCTCCAACATAAACTTACCCTAACTTAGTGACTGGTTTTGTTGTCTATTTATGTTTCTCTAACCATGAATGTGTATTTACGATTAGAATAATCAATAGATGATTAACATCACATTGATGGTGATCACATTTAACGTACACAACTTTGTTAATCTAATATTTAACTGTTTTGGTATGATATGTTTCCGTTGCTGTCAAAAGGTTCCGTTTTTAATACTGTCAAAACGTTCTGTTTTTAATAATAAAAGACCAGAAAAAGTACATAACTAAAAAATGTTAACAAACAAAAGTTTAATCTGAATGTTGGTAATGTTTTCTTGGAAATGTTTATTAATGTATAGTATATTTAGGGACATTATAAGGAAACTGCAGGTCGCACAACGCTCAACGAAATATGCTTGGGAATAACCAAGAAAGACCGTAAAAGAATAAAGCGGATACGACAAAAGACCCAGGTAATAAATGTCATCCACTTAATCAAATCCTTCAAGTGGTAATGGGCAGGACACTTGGCAAGAAGAACGGACAACAACTGGACCACAAAAATTACAGCATGGTATCCACGAGGAATCAAGAGACCTAGAGGAAGCCTAAACTTCAGCTGGGACCATGATGTTAAGAAATTACCAGGGATAACTTGAGCCAGCATAGCCAACAACAGACAACAATGGGCCCAACTACAAAGAGAGTATCTAAATATGTGAGAGAGGCTGCACCATAATTGGAAATGGTTGAATAAGCTGTGTATGACGATGATGATGAAGATAGTATATTTAATAAATAACCTAAATGCTGAAGTTGAAAGTGAACAGCTTCTTAATAATAATAATAGCTCCCGTATATAGCGTTTAACGCCTTGGGAGTAGCAAGGTACAGCTTGCTATACTAGAGCCTTTCGGTATACAAGGAAAGTAATGTGGCTAGCACTACGCTTCAACCGCTTATTATTACCTCAGGATTGTGAATCCCAAGTACTCATTTAAGGCTGAGTCGACCTAGGTACCCAAACTGTTTTTATTTTAATAAAAATAGTCGGCTGATGAAACGCCCGGTGTGGGAATCGAACCCACACCTTGAGATTGGTAGACGAGAGCCTCTACGCCACCGGGCACAGCTTCTTAAAACAATATAACTCACTTAGCCTCAGAAGTTATCAGTCTATTTCTACTTTCAGGTATTTCGCCGATTTGAATATCCAGCGGAACTCTCCAAAATTCAAAAGTACAACACAACTCTTAGTATTAGAAGACAATATCTTATCGATACGATAGTTAATAACACTGATCTTGCCAACTTAGACTACCTCATTTCACTGGAATTGGATAAATATGAAACTATTTTACAGGTACGCATCTTTTTTTGGAAAGAAATTAGCCAAATTTTCCATACGTCCCTTACAGTTAGAATCATTTTATTGTAAATTGTATCAACACATGGTATCTCAAATTCTAGGTCGATATCAGAAGTTTTCGATATAGATAAAACACATATTTTCACCACAACCTACCAAAAACTTTATTGTTATGGATGCATGTTTCACTAACCATGTCAACTGCCAACATCATCAGTAGTTAAAAACTGTGACTTTTGAGTTTTAATCATTTTCTGATAATGCTAACATTAGATGCTAACATGGTTAGCGAAACGTCAAGTCTTTCAATCGTGTCTTGGTGTGTTGCTATCAAATTGAAATTGTATATTTTTCTTTAATATCAGGAACCAAAAATATGTCACAATAGATAAATGTTGGCAAGTTTTTACACAAATAATCAATAACAGGAATTCTACAGCTTTAAGAGATATTAACACCTATTCATATTTTAGGCATCTTTTAAAGATGGTGTTCCATTAAGACCAAAAACTGACATGGCAAAATGGACCACCCTAACATCAGTATTTTTCTGTTCTACAGTTTTAACCACAATAGGTAAGTATATATACACAGGGTGGTCCGAACTGTATTCCGAAAACTTCGGCAGCATATTCTGCAGACAAAACTAAGTAAAAAAGTTCGTATAAATGTATGTCCTAAAATGCTTAGTTTCGGAGATACAGGATGTAACAGTTTCATTTATTTCTATTTTTTCCAAATAATTTCTGAAGTAACGTCAATATTTGGATGAAAATTGGTGTCTGGGAGTTTTTTGGCATAAGAAATTCGATTTTGATGTCAAAATGACTCCTATTTGTAGGGCGCGCCCCCTACATGTGTTTTCATTGTTTTGAAGAGTAATAACTTTTCGTCCGTACCTGTATAAAACTACTGGGTATAAAAATATACATTTCCGTGATTTTTTACGTAAAAAATATCTCTTGGTAAAAATAGCTACGAGCAACCGTTCTCAAGATATTTAGAATGGAAAAGTCAATACGTAACT